CCTCTAGAACCCTCAGTTTGTTTTTCAGAGTCCATCATCTCTCATGGTTCGTCTCCCCCTCTGACATACTCCCCTTTTCTTCCTCTCCTGTTATCTTCTTCTTTTTCTTTTTTCTTAAAATATGTTGTGTTATTTGTTTCAGAAGTACAGATCTGTGATTCAACAGTCTTGCACAATTCACAGCGCTCACCGTAGCACATACCCTCCCCAATGTCTATCACCCAGCCATCCCATCCCTCCCACCCCCAACCACTCCAGTAACACTCAGTTTGTTTCCTGAGATTAAGAATTCCTCATATCAGTGAGGTCACATGATACATGTCTTTCTCTGATTGACTTATTTCACTCAGCATAACACCCTCCAGTTCCATCCACGTCGTGGGCAACTGCTTTCGTTCTAAGCTGTCCATGGTTCTAATTATTCTTAGGCTGATAAACACGGACGGGTGCTTAGAAAAGACATCTGTGTCCAACATCCGTCCGTTCTGTATCTTTGCTTGTCTTCTAACTGAAGAAGTGTTGGGAACGGTGAACCGGCAGGAGTATTCCTGGGTGTCATCTGCCTAACCACGCTTCTGGACCCAGGGAGGATTTTTTCTGGCACCGACTCCAGGGAAGGAAAACACCCCAATGAAACCTAAAGCATGTGCACGGTCATGTCTGGAGAGTGCTAATTGGAGGCTTCTGCCTTTGGATTCTGTGGATTATGAATAAACCCAACTCCAGTTGCTGAAATACAAAGCTTTATTGGCTACATAGCTGAAAAACCAAGGCTAGAACTAGGGCACAGGTACAATCTTGCAGTGCTGTCCGGTAGAACTCTGCAGTGATGGCAATGTCCTATATTTGCTCATTCCAAACAGTCATCACTAGCCTACACTCGGCTGCTGCATACTTGAGATGTGCCCAGGGCAGCTGAGAAGCTGAATTTTTTGGTTCACGTGATTTACATGTAGCCACATGGAGCTCGTGGGTACTGGATTTTACAGCACCCGCTAAAATCTCTCTCCATTTCTTGGTCTGCTTCCCTCTGCTCTTTTCCCAGGCAAATGACCCACTTGTCGTGGCAAAAGTGGCCTCCAGTATCTCCAGTGTACATTCCATCATAGGAGCAGCTCACCCGGGAGGGAGCCTCTCCTCCCCACTGATGACAACCAAAGCCTCGGAGCCGACTTTCACCGGCCCTGGCTGGGTCATGGGCCCAAATCTGACCTGGGTTGGTGGTGGTGGTTCCTCAGGGAAGGAACCAGGGTGCTGCCACCTCACAAAAGAGGAAAGGCCACAGGAAGTGAGCACAGTGATTACCCCTTGCAGCTTTGTTTATAAAATATTTGGGTTGGGGCGCCTGGGTGGCTCAGTCAGTTAAGTGTCTGCCTTCAGCTCAGGTCATGATCCTGGGGTCCTGGGATTGAGCCCCACATCAGGCTCCCTGCTCGGTGCGGAGCCTGCTTCTCCCTCTCCCTGCCCGCCCACCCATGCTCTCTTTATCTCTCTCTTTCTCTCAAATAAATAAAAAGAATCTTAAAAAAAAAAAAGTATTTGGGCATCTGGGTTTAATAAGGGAGAGAGTCAAAAGCATAAAGTACTTTGCAAAGGTAAACGGGGACAGAGCAGTCCTCTATCAAAGGGAACGGTAAAGGTGAAATTCTATTTGGGGTCTAATGGCAGTGTTGTGAATTTGAAGGACAAGTTTAAATTTAATAATGACATCAT